CGTGACTAAAATGATCTTCAGCTTTTTGTCTTGAAATTGGCTTTTGACTGGAAACCTGAAAGTGAAAACTTGGGAAGACTATCAATATGAGTCAAGGAAACGTTTTAAAAAAATTTATAACTTATGTAGGGTTTCAAATCTGGTAGGTTCAGTGGATTCGTTAATGAATTCCTGTTCGTTTGCTCATAGCATTTGAGCGTGACTGTTCTGCTTTTTCACACAATCCTTATAACACTTTCAGTAGTCCACTTTTCAGCTAGACAAATATTGATTCTATTAGATGAAAGGTTTTGTTACTTTGCAGCATAGACGGTGGTTTTGCTTGTGGTAATGGTGTACCTTTCTGCAGCTAAAAAATAAGTGCATAAAAAATAATACCAAAACAGTGGTTAAATCTATCTCACCGATGACATACTGAAGGTCGCAAATAAATTTATAGTCCAATAATTCATAAAAGAGATACGATCGTAAGTAAAAAAAAACTTGGTCTTGATCAACAATAATCAAAAAAAAAAAAAAAACCTGCCATATTTGGCCCTGTTTTAAAGCGGCTTTGAAGAATCGAGTTTTCAGCCCTCTATCCTGCAAAAAAATTTTGTAGAACACTGAAATTTCAACACAGTTTAAAATTCAGCAATCAGAGCCCCAAGACTTATTTCTCATAACACTCGATGTTTATTATAAAAATTTTCGTACAAAAATTTATAAACAAAAACTGTTATGTTTACAAAGATCATAGCATTATACCAACTGCTTTTCGGGATCTGTATATTGTATTAACAAATGAGAAATATGAAAAAGAAAGCAAAAGATGCTATACGACAACATAAATAGTCTGAGAATAAGACGAGGAAAAAGTGAAGGATAATCAATGTAGAGACGAGGGAGGAAGAATTAAAAGTTAGAAGAAACCGATCATTAGATGCAACTAACTATTCTGTATTCTGCTGCTCAGAAAAAATTCCGATTTCTGTCATCTAAGTCCAACGATATATTATTGGGTATAGTTCTGAAAGGTTACACTACAATAAACAAATAAACTCTGCTATATTATAACAATTATGCTCTGCTTTTTACATTAGATATTTGCTAGTTTGCGTGAAAGAAAAAAAAAAACCTGGAATAACACTGAAAGTTCAAATAATCAAACCGATTATGTTCATTGAAACTTTGCAAAGTCAACCTACTAAAAACTGTGTAAAGTTCAAGTTCAATACTTTTTTCCCTGATAGTTTTGATTTCAAAAAAAAAAAAAAAAGTGCAGCACTGACCTATTTTGGGTGGCCATCATCTAAGTGTCAAAGCAAATTTGTTTTTTAGACGTTTTTTAAGGTGAGAAAAAAGAAAAAAAAAAAAGACGGAAGTGGATAGGATCGGGCAAATCAATTAAACATAAACTGTTATAGATCATCAGCAGTTTAGTTCCTGGATCCGCTGATGAAATTCTATTTTAGCCTAAAATTCATTCATCAATATCCGACGAAACATTCTTTTTGTTACCTATTTTTTGAGCACCAGGAAAAATAAGTAGATTTAAGACGAAAAAAAAATTCTAGTTTTAGAAAGGGCTAAAAAAAAAAAACCATTCCGGATTTTACCATTCAGATACAGATAGTTCAACTGGCATTATTTGCCATTGAAGAAGATTGACGATGCACAGCATTTTCAAAGCCATAGATATGAAACAATCCCGTTGATGATCATCAGAT